TAATCCCTCTGAATCTATTGTAAAGCTTTGCAGTTCTACTATAACCTCTCTGAGATCCAGAATAGTTGTCTCACTTTGACTCGTTTAAATCAAACAGAGGCTCCCTGTTCGGCCCCCAGGACGTCGCTGGGATTTACCGCCTGTCTGTGTGTTTTCCAGGGTCAACGGCACTCCGTCGCCTCTCTCTCTCAGCCCCTCTCCCGCCAGCAGCGGAGGAGCGCCGGGAGGAGGCGGCGCATCAGGGTCGTCTGGTAGTGTGGCGATTCCCCAGCGGATCCACCACATGGCCGCCAGTCATGTGAACATCACCAACAACATCCTGAGGAGCTATGAGCACTGGGAGACGGCTGACAGGCTGGCAGCCGACAGCAGAGGTAGGACCACAGAGACTCGGGCCCCAACATCTGCTTGGATTATAACTCGACAAACGTTTTCTGGTTTGTCACAGCAGCAACGTTCTGTTGCTGTTTTTGTTGCTCCTTCACTGTGTTTCTGCTCCTACTGAGCCCCTGACTCCGCTGCAGTTGGAGAAGCGTGGCTCCTGCTGTGTCTGAACTCCCACCTGACAGCAGGCGCTTAGATGAGCAAATAGAAAAGCTTTTATGATCTGGTTAAGATTTAGGTCACACTCACTAAGCAGCAGAAGAGAAGCTGGAGAAATGCCCCAAATTCAGCATATGATTTTAAGAAAGGAAGGGAGTGAAGTTTGCAACCAAATGAAAGCCAACAGAGGTGTTTATATCGAATATCAAAACAAAAAGACGTTTTTTTTAGGGGTTTCAAAGTTTTCCACCCTATTTTTGCCCGTTTTAACAGGAGTATGTTCACTCAGATCAAGAAAGATCATCAAAATAAATATGGCCTACATGCCAAACTCCACTACTTCCTGAACTTCTGCCAGCCCAGTAACCATGACGACGATAGACAACCACACCTGGATCAATAAGTTTGTCCAGTCAAATAAGGCAGGAACAAAAGGAGCTGTCTGAAGTTCAGGAAGTAGTGGAGTTGGACATGGAGCCCAATAAGATATGCAAACCAAATCCTTTTGATGACTAATATCAAAATAAAAGCAAGAAAAGCTTTTGGTAAATGTGTTAATACTAGATCATAAATCAGTTTACAGTAATTTTATCCCCTAAACTTCTTTCTCTTGGGTCTTAATGTGGTTCTACCATATTTTCACGTCTAGGGACTTGCAACCCTTACGTCTTACGCTTAGATTAAATAGTGAGTGAACATTAATTTCATGTTTATTTTAAAGTTTGAAATATTAGGAATTAGTAAAAATTATATGTTTTACAAAAAATATATTCCTGCAACTGCTGACTTATAGTCTGTGTCAACATGATATTTATATGTTAGAAGAGAGGGAATTAGTGTTACTAATCCTAATCTAAATTATAAAGGCAGAGTGGTGAAGGTGAGTCAACAAACCAATTTAGGTGCATCCCTTCATCAACACACCTGAATGAAACAGCTGGATTCCCTCATCAGCATTCAGGCCTGCTAAGGAGCCTTTGATTGGATTCAGGTGTGCTGGAGAAAGATGGTAGCTTTGAAACAACAAATATAGAGCAGAGTTAAACCTCATATGTGTGTCTTCCTACAGAAAATCATTCAGACCTCTCCTCAGCAGCAGTTCTAACCTCTGTCTGTCGTCTCTCTCCTCCCCCTCCTGTTTCCTGCAGACTTCTTCCAGAACCTGGACTCGTTGATGGGGCCTTTGAGTCAGCAGAGCAGTATGACGGAGCTGGTGCGCTACATCAGGCAGGGACTGCACTGGCTCCGCACAGAAGCTCAGCTGTTATAAAACACTGAACATAAGCTGAAATAAAACAAAAAATAACAGAAAGCAAATAAAAGAAACGGGCCTGGGAACTAGAGCTGGGATAACAGCTGCGACGAGACCCGGAAGGACGCTTCCCTTCCCACAGAGATCCCTGCAACGACCCAGCTTTGCACACGGTAACTTAACGGTTTAGGCTGAGTCTGTTAATCAGGCTGAAATTCACCTGCAGTCAGCGCTGCACCGGAACATAGACCAGCTCCTCAGTAATGCTGCTTTTTACAGCAGCTGCAACAAAGAGTCAGAACAGGTGGTTTAAACTCCTGAGGAGACACAGCGCTCCCCCAAACTCTCCCTTTGACTCAGACTTAAAAAAAAGAACAAAAGGAGAGCAGAAAGTACAAAAAAAGTGATTTTTACTGAGATGGAAGGATTGTCTAGAAGATAGGTGAGCGGCATTAAGGCAGCTAAATGTGGCCAAAGAGCTCAGCAGAGGCTCATCAAGCCCAGCAGAGGAGCAGAAATGTGTCAGTGATTGGGTCTGGATTTAAAGCCTCAGGCTGATATTGATCCAGCTGGGAAAGTAGCAGAACGATCCATCAGATAAGGACCACACCAGTGGGGAGAAAGAGGCCGGGCTGTGACCCCTCAGGCAGAATCAAAGCAGGCAGAAGTCAGTCCTCTACTTCTGTTTTAGTCCTCAGCGAGGAATCCTCCGACACGAGAAGACAGGCTGAAGCCTGACTGCCGAGTGTCGTGTGCAGAGTTGCGGGAAATGCTCTTTTCAGTCAGCAGCTTAATTTCAAATTTTAAATTCACTAGATATTTCTTCATGTGTTTCAAAATAAATACCAAGATTGGATGCAAAAACTGTGACCAATCAGGGTGCTTCTAGATAAAGGACAAAAATAAGCAAATTCCTGCAAAAAAAAATGTTAAGGGCACGGTGCAGCAGGGGGCGACATTTTTAGTCCTAAACCCACAATAGGTGTTTGATACAGCTTATTTTGGTATCAGTCCGATACCCAGGAAAAACAGCATCAACAATATCACTATCAACACTGATACCTTTTAATGTCTAAGCAGGATACCGAACTTCTGATTTTAAATGTTTTTGTGGTTTTAATTTTGTCCAGCTTACGAACCGGGTTGATCACATGATATTTCTGTGAAAAACAGGAGAAAAAACAGCTAATAAACCACAAATAAATTGTTTCATCAAATACCTTCAGGATTTTTTTTAATACTAACAGTTAAAATGATCAAATTGAAATAGATGTCAGATTTCAAAGAATAAATCCCATTGTGGGCCTGTCCCTGTGTGCAGAATAAATGACTCAACACAATATGGATATTACCGATATTTGGAATTGATCTGCCCATCGCTAAAATCCACCAACCGTAGATTTACGTTTCCTAACCCCTAATGTTAGCCAAGCGTTAGACCTCGGGGGAAAGAATAAACCAAAGGTGTTAAATTAGGCTTGGGTAGTTAGTCCACTGACCATTAGTTAGGACTTTATTCAAAACTGCCAGTCTGAACTACATGTATTGTAAAAATGGCGTCGCCCTTTTCCCTATAGAAGAGAAGTGTTGTACCGATACCGGGTAGGGTCCCTATCTAGCACTAAAATGGTGGTATTGATATCGGCTAGTACCAACAAATAGGGCACTGATACCATTTTGAGAGCCAAAAGTTTATTCAACTATTGTCACCCATTCCAGGTAGGCAATAAAAAGTTCTACTGGATTCACTTTGTATTAATCCTTTTCCTGCTTTACAAAGGTAGCAGCAGCTTGACAAAGCCATGATGGCAATTATTTTACATCCAAGTAGTATGCAGTTCTTCATATATACACACACACATTAATTTCAAACAGATGGTATCGGTATCGGCCAATACTGCACAGCCAGGTATCGGGTATCTGGGCCAAAAAATGGTATCAGCACAACACTACAGAAGAGTGCCTCTTAAAACATTTTGAAACAAAAAAAAGTTTGGATTTCTTTTATCTTGATTTTTTTTTTTTATTTGTGTTAAAAAAAAATTTGTAGAAATTTACATGATTAAAGAGAAAAACGTTCAACATAAATGGGGAACACCAGAGGGAAGAGCACAGGGCAGTCAGTAGGAAAAATGTTTGTCTGGATTGTGGATATTTTGTCATTTGAAAAAAATCTTTAATCATGAAAAAAAATATTTTGGAATAATGTGGTCCAAATCATTTACAGAGAGATGAGGTCCAAATCTATTAGGAAATTAGGACAAATCAAAACATAAACAAAAATCCTTTATATATATATCAGTGTGTTAAATGAAAAAACAAAGTTATTTACATTTTAATGTCCACTTTCCAAATAATTACGAAGGGGAAAAAAATTACAGATAAACCAGTAGTTTTAAAAAAAAAAGTGTTTTCTCCTGACACCAATATGCTTCCCTACAAATCTGTGAAATGTCATAGTGTTTTCTAACAAGCTGATTTGTTTAGGCCTGTTGTGAAATTAAAGTAAACAAAATACTAAAATAGCAGATTGCTTTTGTAAATCTTTCAGAGGAAATTTCCTCTTCTTGTGCGAAATGCATAATGAAAAGAAATGTGTAGCAATTTATGGGGAAAAAAAGCAATCTAAATTTTATTTAATCTACCACAAATCAACTAAAGTGCTTTACAAAAGAAGTAAAAAAAAAACTGAATAAATTCAGAAGACAGCTTTTCATAGAACTAGAATTAAAGAACACTAAATACATAAACGCCTACCTTAACAGGTCTGATTGAGCTATACTTCAAAATCAATGTGAAAAAATAAATTCTAAGTAGAGATTGATTTTTAGGGCCCTGAAGTACGAAAATCAAGCACTTTTTGAGGATGTAAAAGCCTAACTTACAATTCTTTGATGTAGCCAACTGCTGCACTAACAGCAACAATGGATATAAAATTATTTAAATTAAAACTTTTTTATCAATACAAACATGAACAGGCAGTTAATGTTAATCCATCACAACAGAAAGAATAGCAGAACGCTAAAGCTATGAAATGAAATGAGTTTCCTGGCATAAGATGTCAGATAAGATGTATCACATCATCAAATACCAGCGACAGTAGATAAAAGGATCCTGTGACCTGATGCCCTTTTTTGCCTTTGGGTCACAAGTACAGGCATTATTTCCTAAAAGAATATTAAATTACATGAGAAATAGGGAGAATAAATGTGAGCAGGCATGCTTGTTTAATAGATCGGGTCAGACAGTCATTTTTTGAGTCAGAAAAGTTTGTGAACAGAAAGTTTAGGATGTAAACGACGACATAATGAGCTCTCTGTTCAATTTCCCTCCAAATGAGAGCCGGCTTCAATCAAAAGCAGTATCTCTTGCTGGTTATGGGCTTTTTGTGAATTTCCAGCTCAGTTCTAGTTCCCATAGTAACCCAACCGTGACGGTGTTGGTGGTGATGGGGGGGGGACTACTAGACTCAGTATGATTTGGCTCCAATTAAGCGCCCCCATGTGCAGAGCGAGTAAACGAGGAAGATCTCATCTCTGCTCCCCGATGTCAAGACGAATCTGCGACTTTGTACAGCACCTAATGAGATCAGATCATCTGCTGGATCATCTTCTAGTCGTTTCCCAGCATTTGTTGTGTTGTGTTGTTGGTGTGTATACGTGTACAGCTGATTGTCAAGTCTATCGAAATTGTTGCTGACCAATAATAATGTTTGTGTAATATACTGTACAGATTGTGACACCTGGAAGCAGTGCGTATTTGGTTTCTTTTTTGTTTTGTTGTCTTGTGAATGGGTCAATGTGAAAGAACGAAAATGAGTGAGTGTCACATATGTGGGTCCATGCACAGGTTATTGCTGCATTTACACAGCCCAAAAACTTAAGGGATTTTTAACTCTTTGTGGTACATTTAAAAGAAGAATCCCCAACGTTTCTATGTGATTTCTCCTCCGTTGCTTATTGTGCTACAAAAGCTTAGAATCTTCTTGTAAGGCTTTCTGTAAATCCAGCACATCCAGCATGAGTTTCATAAGTTTGGGATCATTTATCATGCTTGAATGTGCGTGAAAGGACAATTTGGATGTCGGAAGTAATTTATAGGTTAACATGAAAAAAGAAAGAAAGAAACTCAAGTGCCTCTATTTGTGTCCAGTTGGAATTGCTCTATTTATTTAAAAAAAAAAAAACAAAGAATGAATCTAAATAATTTTCCATACCATATTGGTATAAATATGACTTTTTTTTTCATAAAATCAAATGTCTCCATAAGCTTTTTTACTGGCGTTATGATGACACCAGGGTTCGGCTTTAAGATGGGAAGAAAAAAAAGCGTGTTGATTAGCATTCATTGCTGTATTTTGTTTTCTTAATGATTTGACTTTTTTTTTTTTTGTTTTGTTTTGTCTGAATTGCTTGAAACTTTAAAAATTATTGCATGCAATAAATGATACCTTCAGACCAACAATTGCCTGTGTCCCATTGGAGAAAGACAAAAAGAAAATAGTCTATTTTATGTTGTAATTGATTGAATATGGGAATTTATTTTCGTCACCTGAAGCTAGCTGCTTTGAATGCACTTCACTGACGGCTGTTTGGATATCCAAAAACAATTAAAACGTTCAAAGGATCCACAGAAAACAAACAATTCCTGATTTGATCATTGGGAGAATTATTGACAAATCCTCATTTGCTTAGCTAGTTAGCTATGCTAAGCTAGTTATCTTCAGACGTTAGTTGAATCTTTTACAAATACAAATTTAGTACTTGTTTAAAACAAAAACATGATACCAGCTAATACAAACACAATTATACTCTTGTTTAAATGAAAGAATTGTTGGTGTTTTCAACCATTTTGTAAATCCTTCCTTTTACCAAAGTTTTAATTGAAACCCTGGTGCTATAGTGGCTAACGCCTAAGCTACTCTTCATTAGCCAGAGAAATTTGATGTCTCGTGGCTGCAAGGAGGACATGATTCTGTTTTTTACAGCCTAGCTTTTGGCAGTTTTACTTTTTAAAGTAATTTTTTCCGGGGAGATTTTTATTTCAATGCTTTTTTTTTAAGTGACAAGTTAAAAGTGGGGATGGTTAAGGCCAAAATTTTGTCAACAATCGTCTTGCTGATGCATCTAAGCAGTTTATGAATTTAAAACATTCATATGGCAGGGAAATTACACTAACCAAGTGTGTTAATGGTTTTAAAAAAAAAGTTTAGAAATATATGGTATCTAAAAGGCAAGTTATAGGGACAGTATTTGCCTTTGATTGCCTTTTTTTTCTCAAAATCTAAGTAAATTAGCAGTTTCAGCTAAAGTTAGCTACACATATTAAGCTAAAATATGCTTAGCTATGTGTTTCTTAAGATTATGCTTAAGTTAGAGGTTTGAAAACAGAAAGGCTTTCTTAAATCAGATTTGTGAATCCAGTCTTTTATTTATTCAAGCTTAAAACCCAACATGGCCTTAATGGATGACATATTTCCATTGAAAATTGTTTATTTTTCCCTCCTGACAGAAATATGTCTAACAATATGTTGCAGAATATCTGGGCACACCTCAAAAATCCATTGAAAATTGGATGGTTTTCAGGCTTCCGATAACTTGTCTCCTTTGAAATGTTTTTACTGTCATCTACTGCGCTTAAAGAAATACTAAAACTATCGTAATTTCCATCCTACGCCCCTAGGTGCTACTGTTGACTGAATTGATTTTTCATTTAAAAGCCACATCTATAGCTATTGAAATGGCAATCATCTGTAATGCTGTATGCATTCATTTCAGCATAATATTTAATATTATTAGTTTGCAAAGGAACAGAAGAAAAACATTTTCTTGTTTTAACAAAAAGCTGTTTCTGTGTTCAACGCCTACTGAGTTTGAATGCTGAGAAATACAATTTTTGGGGGAATGGCTAACTGTTAATGCTTTACTTCAATAGATTTAATGCCAACAAAAACTGTCCAAAAAAAACCCAAAACGATGGGACTTGTGTTGTGACGCGATTAAGTCTTCCATGCTAATGTAAAACAAAATTAGCTAATCTTAGGAGCTCTAGTACAAAGCATTGCTGAGCGCTGACTCTGTTACATCTAGTAAGCTTTTTAAACATAAAGTAATAAGCATATTTTTAAAAGTATCTAAATATTAAAAAATATATATTTATATAAACATTATAAAGACCAGTTTGAATGATAAGTTTCATTTTATTCTCAAAATCATAAGGGGATAACCAAGTTTCTAAGACAAAATGTTGGCGTTCATGTTAGCAAACAAACCAAAAACATTTCCATTATTTATGGCTTAGTTGCTGTGAAAAAATTATCCTATATTAGTTTTTTATTTCATGGGTTGTTGTGCACTGCTACTATTAAATGTTTGTATTGTTGCACAATTGATACGATAAGTTGAACTTAAGCAACAAATCATTTCAATGTTTGCTATATGAAAATGTGTGTTTTCTACAATATTTCTGGAAACAGACATAATCAGCTTCTCCTGCTATACTGCTGGTATCTCATTACAGATCTCATTAGTTGCTGTTGTATTATCACAGTTGTCAACATATTTATGAAAGGCAACAATAAAACATTATTTTACTTATAATTATAATGGGAAGTGTAAAGTTCGTTGCTGGCAGATGGTGTCAAGCCAATGTACTGTAATAATCTCTCCAGCAGTGACGACTTTCTCTGGTAGTTTGGATTTAATTAAATCACAGATCTGAAAAAAACAAATCATTTTT